AAAATTTAGAAGTGGCAGCAATAGGTCCCCAGCTCACGTTAACTCCTTTCACATGTTGAGGATCATCCCTCTACTGTGCTGCAGCCTTTGGTACCAGCCCTTCCCCGCGGAGGTGCGGATAGCGTCACTTCCCTCCCAGTCCTTCTCCACGGGCTGATGGGCTCCAAGGAATCAGCCTGTATTTGCCCAGTCCAGTTTGCATCAGTGCTGGACCCAGACGAGTATTTTTCCCCCTGAACTATTCTCATTAAACTTTATTTTTTTAAGGAAATTATGTCCGCTTTATTGGAAGCACGTCAGCAGCCCCAAGCTGCTGGTGGTACTGCCTTCGCATCTGTAATATCCTCTCTTCTCCCCAAATTCAAAAGGCTGTTCATAGTAGTAAGGAAAACGATGCATTATCCTGGAGGGGGTGAGGAGAGGAGAGGGACAAGAGGGAAATAATCCATGCTGCTGGAGTGATTAATGTGACCGTTTATGATGAAGGAAATGAAAACTAGAAATCTGGGTAAGTAATATTCTTTCCAAGAGAATGACTTTCACTGGAACCACAATACAAACTCATGTGCTCACCTCCCTTAAATTATTGCTGAAGTTTTCAAAGCAAAGCAGGGATGGCACTGAAAATTTTGCTCTCTTGTTGATTCCCAGGAGCACAGAATTTCCAGCAATAGCAGGAGAGGGGTTCACTGCGAGATGCACGCATGCCATCACCTCTCTTTAAAATGTGAGATGCTTCCGTGATAGGTTTGAGTAAAAGAGCTTAAGAGGCACATTTAACACTGTCCATTAAGCATGGTGAGCCAGAGAAAGGCTTCCCCTGCGTACATCATCTCGCACATTGATATGCAGGCCGAGTGTGCTCAGTGGGAGGAACCAGACTAACAGTATTTTTGATGAAGGTAAGAGCCTAATATTGCAGCTTTGGAAAGATCAGTTATCCATCTGCCAGCCATCTATCTTCGGCTATGATACTTACCTGGCCTCAGTTATTACAGTATGTAACCGCTTCACAACCACTAATATATTTATCTTTTCATCCTCCCTGTGGAGTTGGGAAGTGCTATTACCTCTGTTGCAGAACTAAGAACTGAGATTAAGGGTCAGATTTGTTATGGCATTTAGGTGCTTAGTGGGATTTTCAAAAGTACCTAACACCTGTTGAATAAGTGGAACCTGGGTACTTTGATAGTTCTGAAAATCCTGTTACTTGTGTCTTTTCTTTTAAAATTTTGGGCTTACATGACACCCTGGGATCCGTAGGAGAGGTTCCCATGTTGTAGGTTGTCGCCCAGACAGGAGACTGTCTCTTCATCCGCCTACTAGGAGACTGTAGGTGGGACAGGAGCAATTTTATGGCAGTGGGAGGAAGTAGCTTATCTCGGTCCTGAATTCAGCAAGCTGTAACTCTGTGGACAGCAGTGAATTTACCCTCCTTGCACAGCCCCCTGAGAGAGGTCAGAATCCAGTCCTGGAAATATTGGAGCAAAAATAAGCAACATCCATGGTCAATAAAAAGGGCTTACGTGCCAATTGCTGGGCTGGAAAATTCAAGAGCAGGAGCAAATAATGAAACAATCTATATTCATGCAGGTGCCTTTCCAGCCTACTGCTGTAAGTACGGGCTTACACCTAACTGGGAGATGTGAATCCTACTGAAAACTCCAGAGTATCACACTGGAAAACAAATGTTGATTTTGAACAAATTATCTGTTCATCGCTAAATCATTTTCTTTCATTATCAGTCTCCAAATTGGTTCTGCTCTGGAAGACAGAATTAGGTTTAAAAGCAGAGTGTCTCTTAAACACTTGCTTCAAATGAAAGTATTCAGTAAACATTACTCAAACCCCCTAGAGCATAAACTCCTCAACTGCTTTATCTGGCTTTGCATAGATTTTTCAGCTCCTGGTTTAAAGACAGGTGTCTCAGGGATTCATTCAGGATATCAGAAAATAATCAAATTAAATCCCTTGCAATCATGTGTCAAGGAAAATTTTATTAAGACCTTTCTGTCCTCATTTACAGCGGCATAAATTGGGACAAAAGTCCTATGCAAACAGATAGAGTTACACCAATATCAAACTTGTAAGAGAGAGAGGAGTCAGACTCCAAACCCACGGCATAAGTACAAAACCATGTGGGCTGCAAGCCCAAGTTTCTCGTCATTGGAAGAGCTACACTTTGCTGTTATAGTACTTGCACTCATTTCCATAGTTTTAAGGTTCTAAAAAAAAGCCCCTGGGCTTCAAAATGATATTTTTAACATTAAAGGAATGGGTTTTGGTTAACATGGCTTGCATGTCAGCAAGATTGCAGCTGTCTGAGCTAGTGATTTAGGATGAGAGAGTGGGGGTCAGCTCAGCTAACTTTAAAGAACACCCGTGGTGCTGCAGGGAGCGGGGTGGGTTACAGAGCAGCAGCAAAGCCCCAGCGTTGTGTGCTTGTCCCACGTTACACCATGGACTATCGGGAGGTGCTCAAGAGGGTCATTTGTCAGGCAAGAAGCTCTGTAGGGATTCGGATGTGTCTAATTGCATGGGTTTTTATCAGTGTTATCCTGCCTGTAGGTTTTCACTGGGTGGAGGAGGGAGAACAACTCAGTCACTTTGTTGGATATGAAAAGAGAACAAGACTTTGGGACAATGTTATCTAATAGACTCCCAGGTACTTGGTAGCTTGTTCAAAGCATGGATTTAACTTGGTTTGATGTTATAGGGACCTGTGTGCAGAGGGGAAGATACGCAAGAAGGTCCCTCTTGATCCCCCCCACCGTGGGAAGACATTTGCTGACTTCCCAGTTCTCTGCACTCTCCAGTAAAGCACTGGTGTGGAGGCTGCTCCGGCACAGGGCAGGAATTGAGAGCTGCTGCTGCTGCAAATGAGTGCATTTGCACTGTGGTGTCTGAACACTGTTTTGCACTTACAAGGTTTGTTTCTCAGTGGGCAGAAGAGCTACAAGATTAACAGATGAACAAATATACTGAGACAGCCAAGACATCAAAGAAATTGAAGAGTCACTAAGATGTTGGAGAGCTGAAGAGTCACCTGGCCATGGTTCTTAGGAATTATTTCATCCTCAGATTAGCTCAGCTGTCTTGGGGTTTGGACACATCCTCTGGTGAATTTAGCTACAGTGACTTAAGATATTACTGGCCTCAGCTCTCTGCTTCTCCTCCGGAGGATCCTGCCTCTGGAGCAGAGGCGGCAGGAGGGAATATGTGCCTGCATCCCAGCCACTGCAGCTCAGATCCTGGGGGGCTTAGTGCAAGCACAGCGTCCTTCATTTTTCGGGGTAGATACCAGCTTGTGAGCTGCACCACTAAGGAAGAGAGCATACTGTATCCCTGGGCAGAAATCTCCAGGGAAAATGTGGGGCAGGCAGTGTGTTAAGCCACCATAATGAAAGCCACCAGAGTGCATGTGCCAGAGCCCCAAGACTGTGTGCTGTGGCTATTTTTACCATAAAGAAATTCTAACAGATATTGGAAAGGCAGTTATTGCAATTGGAAGGTCAGAGGGAATCATATCCCAGGTAGCACTATTTAATGTCAATCGTTCTTTGCAAGCTTTTTCTCCTCCATGCAATCTGCAATTCAATCAGGAAAAAAAAGTGAGTAGCAGCAGTCTTAACCTTAGGTTCCTCGTACAGGAACCAGCCAAGGGGTGATACCAGTGGAGGGATCAGAAGAAGGTTTATGTAAGATGAGCTTCCCTGCAGAGAGCAAACAAAAAGCAGCTCAGAAAGATTGTGCAGAGGCTGCTAACCATGAGACCATGCTCGTTCCTTGGGCTGCATATGCCTCAGTTCTTCCCTGAAATTTAGATTTAGTTGAGTCAGCCAGGAAATTACAGATGAGTTTGGGGTCTGGAGGGAATGATGTTTGAAAAGCAGCAATATGAAGACGCCAACAAGAGGGAAAGTCATAACTTGAAAAGTGCCACACAGAGGCAACTGTGCCTTTGCTTTATTGAACTGTTGGCTGCAATAAATACAGCCAAATTCCCTCAGTCTCCCGTAATGTTGTCTCAGTACCAGCAGGAGTCCATTTAAGAGTACACTTACTTGCACAAATGATTATATATGAAGAGTAGAGAAACAGCTGAAGTGCCACTGCAGTAATGCAAGCAAATCCTAAAAGCTGCCCGAGTAAGCTCAGTGGTTCTGTGCTGCCCTTGTGCTTCAGTTTTGTCAGTGCTGCCTGCCCAAAGCAGTCGAAGCAGAGGAGTTTCTGTTCCAGTCCACCTGCCTGCTTCACCTAGGGAGATCATAGTCTAGATTTTGTGATGGTACAGTAAATAAATGGTGATAAAATCAACTAAGAGGATATTCCCAAAGAGGGAGAATTGTTTTTTATTATCATTTTCAATACAGAAAGTAATAAGACACTATTATAAAGAAGAGACAAGTATAATACAAGACCTATGAATGGATAATCAGCAAGGAAGACTGAACCTTGCGCTTCTGCGTCTTACAGCATTAACCCCAGTTGCCTGAACTAAAAGGTTTGGTTGTGTTAGCCAGTGCTGTAACAGGGTTGTCAGATCCCTGTGTGGTGTATCCACGGTTAGGAGGGGTCAAAGCACTGCACAGGGCGGCCTGGCTGTAAGCAGTGGAATGTAAGCGTAGGAGTGGAGACCAGGAATTTTGAGGTCTTCAGCCTTTCTTTTTTTCATTGATTTCCTTATGCCCTTAAGCCCTTCCAAACCTCACATCTTGCATATGAGCAAGTTGATCATGGGGGAAGCTCTTGCACCTTGCATCTTGTTCCAGCATTTACAACATAGCAAAGTTGATGTGAAATGTTAGCAGATTGGATTTGTGATGTGTTTTACCACACTGTGCATGAATTCTTTCCATTGACTAAACCAGGCGTGGATCTGAACGTCAGCAGGTCCTAAGGTGCCGTGCAATGGGCAGTCAGGCTGTGCAGGACAACAGCCTGAGATTAAGCATGAATATTCAACCCACCGAGCTCTGCAACTCCCCTTTCTGTTACAGACTAGAGTCACCTACGCGCGCGCTGGTGATGGAGGCTCCAAAAGGCATCGAGATCAATGCCGAGGCTGGCAGCTTGAAAGCCACGTGCAGGACAGAGCTCAGGCTGGAATCCAAAGACGGAGAGGTAAGCAAAGGACGTCAAGCCCTGCAGCAAAAACAAACCAAGCCTCCTGCAGATTTGTAGCCTTCTGAGTCACTGAACTACTCTGGTTGAAACACTGGTGTGAAGACACTGGTGAAGCAGGCCTTGCTAGCGTAGTTTCTGCTAGCAGTTATTGAACATATCATATGCAAACGAGCCTCACTCTGTGGCAAAGGCTGATTCATTATTTTTGAAGTGCTTGGATAATAACATCTGTTGTTCAGGCAGATTTATGCAGCTGTAAAATACACGGTGCTCCTAAATTCTTTGTTTCCTTGTCACTTTAAAACAAGATTTACTTGGCCAACATAATTAAATCTTTTATCATACATTTTTCTATAAGAAGAGCTTAATTCACAGGTATTGATCTGAAAAGCTTTTGTAGCTGATGTTTTCATTTTGGAAAGAAAGGGAACATTAGGAGACACAGGTTGTTGCACTGGGGAAACTTCCAAAGAGGAAGAGAGAATAACTAAAACTGATAACACAGAACAAAAGTAAAATAGTTAAGCCTCTTCTGGTGTCTCAAAAATACATGAGCACACGATTCTCATCCCCTCCTGCTGCCACAATGATGGAGGACACCGAAGGATGTGGCTGAGTGGCTCCTGCTGGGGAACCCACGGAGAGCCTCAGCAGGGGGAGCTTCGCATTGAACGCAAACCTGCTGGCCATAGGGCTCCAACATCAGCTAACGTTTTCCTATCTTAGTGTCAGGTGTAAAAAATAGAATGGGATTTCTATTGCGATTCCTGTTATTTCTAAACATTTCCATTTTAAGACATTCCAAACCCAGACCAGAGGTGTTAACAAAAAAACCCCCAAAAATACAAAAAAAACCCCTACCTAATATACTACAATTGAAATCCAAGGCATTTCACTACTGCAAACAGTTGTCTTAATGTTTTAAACACTAATTTGCTTTTAAAATGCATATATTGACCTATTTCTTTCAGGAGATTAGATAGTTGGATACTAAAACTGAAGTGGAGACTGTTACTGTAATTGCAAGATAAGAGCAAATACTGTCAGTCGCCCTGTAATATTCTGGTGTGCAGGTTATCTTACTGTGCTCTTCTTGCTAATGTTAGAGCACTCCCCTGTAGCTGCCATGTGTCTAAGAGCTGACACATGTTCGCTTCTAAGTTCTGTTTTATAAGGAGAAATTCAGGTCTGTTGCAGCATTTATGTTATTTTTAATATACACAAAAGTCTTACACGTATACATAAGATATACATAAAAGTCAGTGTGGTGAGCCTGTAAACATAACTGGCAATGGGATCACAGTGCCAGAAGTCCCGGTGGAGGAGCAGAGTCGTTGCATAGACGTGAACCATACACGCTCCCCACCTAACAAACAGTGGGGTACCTCTGGTTGGGTTAACCCAAACACGGAGGTGCCCCAGGAAGCTACAAGCCAAGAAAACACAGTGGGTAGATTAGCAGAAACAAACTGGAGGTCTTAGGTGGCTCATGCTAAAGGCAAGATCATATGCTCACCCAGATTCGTATCAGACTTTCCCATCTTAATACACTTGCCTACCCAGTTTTTGTAGCAGCCGAGTTGTCCGAAGGAAGCTTCTTTAAACACAAGATCAAAAACAACATCTCTTCACTAATTCTCTCTCTCTTTCTCTCTCTCTCCCCCCCTCCAACTTCAGATAACGTTGAATTCTGCAAAAATCAAACTACCTAACTTGCCTCAAGGATCTTCCTCTTCTGCAGGGTCCAGGCAAAAAATCTACGAGCTCTGTGTGTGTCCCAATGGGAGGTTGTTTCTGTCTCAGGCAGGCACTAGCTCGACCTGCCAGATAAATACAAGCGTCTGCCTTTGAGAGACAATTTGCAGCGGGGCATCGCAGGCAGCCCAAAAGCCAATTCTGGTCTCACAGATTGCAGCTGCCAACTATTTTTACTAGAACACAGAAAGCCTATCAAAGACTTTTTTTGTGTGTGCGCGCGCGTGTGTGTGAATATATATATAAAAATATATATATAAAATATATATATCCTCTGTGTAAAATGATGTTTCAGTACAAGGAATCCCAGGGTGACCCTGTTACATTTGTGTAGCATTTCTCTTTCCCACACCAAAATTTACTGGTACAATCTGCTGAATTGGACTTGATGCTCCCCTGAACCCTTCTGTATTAATATAGTCTAATGATCACCCCTTGTTTTTGATCATGTTCTCAGAGCAGTGGGATTGCTGGCTGGGCAAGACCCTGGAACCGATGTAGACCTACCAACATACGAAGGGAAGAGAAGCATCTCTGATTATTTTTGCACCATTAAATCAGTGGCATGAAAAAAAACCCAACAAAATAGCCATATGTGCTATACTGATGACCTAGAGTGATCCAAGATACCTGTGGTTAAATTACACTCTTTAATTTTCACCTGAAACATGGCTCCCTGTTGGGAGACATGGATTGCACTTGGCAAGTAGAAAAGTCCAGATCTTGCTGGAATAATCATGTATTTTTCTGAAAGGGTTTGAGACTTGCCTGTGCATGGCCAAGGACGCCTTGTGCTGTTCGGATGTGATGCATCAGCTCTAACCCTGTCCTAGCCTAGCAATAGGACAAGAGGAAATGGCCTCAAGCTGCGCCAGGGGAGGTTTAGATTGGACGTGAGGAAAAATTTCTTTACTGAAAGAGTGGTTAAACATTGGACCAGGCTGCCCAGGGAAGTGGTTGAGTCACCATCCCTGGAGGTATTTACAAGATGTGTAGATGAGGAGCTTAGGGACATGGTTTAGTGGGCATGGTGGTGTTGGGCTGACGGTTGGACTTGATGATCTTAGAGGTCTCTTCCAACCTTAATGATAATAATGATTAAAGTCATCTCTGTGCTAACTAAACTGGTGTTGCATTTAGTTCTTGGAAGGAAAAAAATTGTGAAAGTTGGACTAAATAGAAAAATCCCAAACCTCGTTAGTTAACGTGTCCTGGATCACCCTACACACTCTCCATTAGCACCTTTAAAAGATCTTAAAAAGATTTAAGATACCATGTGAAGGTGTGAAGATTTAAGATTTGGACATTACCTATCAATACCTATAGAAATGGAGAAAATTACCTATTGTATACATAGATACAGAGAAGTTCATACAAATTAGATGTGTATTGTCAATGCTATGCCAGAATTTTTGTCATCATTCTTTTCAGGGTATACAGTCCAAGGTCACTTAGATTTGGTGAAGACTGCAAATATCAGAGATGCTGACAATGAAACAGACTTTTTTTAAGGATTTATAAAGATTGTGACAAAGCCAGATTACTGGAAAGCAGGGGCTTTGGGTGCTGGTTCCTCTGGAGTTCGAGCCCCAGAAACTCGCTGGTTGAATCTCTTCATGGGTGCATTTTTCTTTATTTAAGTCCAGGAGTCACTTATGGGCAGGATGAAATGTGAAATCTGATCTGGTAACATCACTTCCACAGTTCAAGTTTTGATAAATAATGAGAAGAGCCCAGATCATTGAATTCTGACCCATAATTGCATCCACATGCATGTAAAAATCCTTGAAAAACAAATAGACTAATTACTGCAAAAGTGTCCAAGTCACAGTAAATCTCACGCGGACAGCAAGGTTTCTAAGCCACTGAGATGCTTTTGAAAATATTACCTCATGTGCAAATATGACAGATCTGTGCCCATCCCTAGTGATATCTAAGCAAAGTTGGTGTTCTTCGAGAAAAAATGTAGCTGACAGAAATATTTAGAAATAATTTAGACCATTCATTTTATGCAGATTTCCACGTATTTTCTTGTGGTCTGGAGAGTACCAGGGTTTGATTTTTTTTTTAAATTAACAATTCTGACTTAATCCAAAACTGGCTGGACTCAAAGGAAAGATTTCTATGAAGTTTAGATTAGATGTGTTGCTGCCTAACAAAGCAACACTCCCATAAAATTTATTCCTGAAAGAGGATTGAATGACCTACTTTTATTTCAGTAATGTTTTCCGATTGATTAATGAATTCAAACTATTTGTTAATGAATGATTCCTGTAATTATTATGTCTTGAGTCCACTTTTGAATACAAAGGGTCACCCAGGATAACAATTGTATTGGGACACAGGACTATACCATCTCTGTTCAAAGAGGGGAATTGTGCCTATGCCTTAAGTCAATGCACTCAGCAAGGAGAAGCACATCATATTTATCTTGTTATTAAAACTAGTTTATTTGGGGGGAGGGACAGGAGGGTGTCTTGGGAACTGGTTGTGCAACTTAAAACAGATATTAATGAAATGCATTAAGACTGTAGGGGCACCTAGAGTGATACAGACTTCTTTCTTTACCATGTTAAATATAGCAAAATACTGTGTACGTTACCTCTGGGACCACAGCTGAAGTCCCATTCATAGTCCTACATTTACTGTAGAGGTTTTTTCCCTGTTTCACTTAATACTGGTCACAAACCTTATAGCAAGCATGGCCCAATTCATAAACAAATCCCGTGTGAGCAGTTGTGAAGGCGTGCTGCAGGAAGAGTACCCTGTGCAGAAAACGAGTTGCATTAACCTCCCCATCCCCGAGAGTGTTAATGCTGGTGAGAAAGGCAGTGCTGGACGCAGGGACTGACCCAGCAGGGATGCTGCATCCCGATTCCCATGCTCCGCTCCCAAGAGGCTGGTGGCTCAGTCCTCATCCCTGTGCACCCTCTGGCTGCTCTGCTGAGGATTTCCATCCCAACAAATTAATTTTGAGTGGCTGGGCTTTTCAGCAGGGCTCTTGGATGAGGTTGTCACCTTCTCATATCACGAAGGCCATGAAACTGCTTAAGAACATTCAGCCATTTATTTTGGCATGAATTTCTGTGGGGGAGCTGTTAGGGAACGACCTTACACATCTGTGCCATCACTGCAGATGCTTCTCTGAGGTGAACGAAGGGTACCTTAATTATGTCTACCTAAAGGAATTCTACTTGCTTCAATGTATTTTACAATCATGTTTCCATCTTAAAAAGCATAAAATGATACGCTGTGTTGAAAGATGAGAAATTATTGCTAGAGAGATTGACCCCGTGTACAGACTTGGAAATCATTTGAGCCCCACTTGAGTTTTAAGCCAGCAGTTCAGACGATGCTGCCTGCGCTTGTGTTGGCCACACGATGAGGCGCCTGCTGTTCAGTGAGTGGCAAACCAGAGCAAACAGGACTCCGTGTCTAGGATCCCAGGGGAAAAAATGGGCACTTTAAAAAGCAGCATGCAAACCCATCCAGCTATCTCACACTTCATAGTTTGAGCCCCCCCTCACAGTTGAGGGCTGTTGTGGAGCGACTGACTCACCTGTTGGATGAGGCAAATGCATGAGAGTCCCTTTTCGTCCTGCCTTGCCCAGAAATCCCTCACAGTTGCTGTACCTGTATGGGTTGGTTTTCCCTCAGTCCATTTAAACTATAGCCTTGCTGGCTGGAATTTCATCCGTACGCTCTACCTGCCATCGATAAAATGCCAAAAACGAACAAGGGTTTGTGTATTGCTTTATGAATCGGGCCTGCAATTCAGTCCAGCTGAGCATTTGCTATTTGGGGAGGTGACGTTTATCTCAAACCAGAGTTTAGTTTTACCTCCCAACCCTAAGGCAAGGCTGGGGTGGGTGGTGAATTTGTTTTTACTGAGCTCAATGGAAGAGATGCCGATGACTTCACGGCCTGAGCTAGGGCAGGAGCTGGGTAGGTGAAAATTCAGGGCATTGACAGCAGTGGAAACACTGCCAGCCCTTGGGGTGGCTGTGGGACCAAACCTTGATTTGTCACTGTGTGCAAGTCTGCATCGCAGCTGTGAGCATTAAAACCCCATTGAAATGCTAATCAAGGGACTGTGATACTAATGTCTATATACCTTAGGCAACCATGAATACTGCAGTTACATAATTGCATTTATGTATTGTAACCCTTAACTTTGTAGGGCTTTGGGACCTTGTTAAATTTGCTTTAAATGCAACACTTTAGTAAGCAGTCAGGAAGATGGCTGTCAGTGCTCACCTGTACACCAGTACCTTATCCATATCCATAGTGTGTGGCCCTTCTGCTGTCACAGGTGAGTTAGGATGGTTTTTCTAAAGAAAAAGACTTTGCCGTTAGCAAAAGCAGAGATCCTAATACTGATTACACAACTGTATCCATTCTCCAAGTTTCTTTGTGGTTTTTTTTGGTTTGGGTTTTTTTTTTACACTTTTTGAAGTATATTACCCAGTAGTCAGTGAAATGGGTAGCTTAAGAGTACAAAGAAATGTTAACACTAAAGGAAGTCATCAAAAGGGGAAGACAGTAGCTACTGAAATATGTGTAAGGCCTCTCCTAGGTATGCATTTTTTAAAAAACAAGCATGCATGAGAGTGATTTATATTTGGTTCTCTCAGTCATGTGCTGTCAAACAGCTGTATTTTGAGAGGGTTTTTTTTTTTCTCCTTTAATCAGTAATATCACATATATGCACAAACAAAAAAGTTTAAGGCATAAACCTAAAAATACCATCTGCAATATACAGTATAGCAAAATTATGTCTAAATAAAAAAACCCTCCCTAGAAATTTCTCCAAGCTTAAAGAGAGATTCCTGTGGAACTTGTGAAGACATCAGGTTAGTTCACATCATACCTAGTTTGCAAATACAGATGTTCTTAAAGTAAATTAGCTTTTGTTGTCATAAGATGCGCACGCACACACACACGAATATATATATACACGCTCACATACACCTGTTTACAACAAAAGCCAATTTTCTTCATATTTGTTGTTACGGCTTTAAGTTTCACATTGTAAAAAGAGTGTGAGACAAAGACCAAAGACTTACAGAAATTCATCCCTTCTCTGGTTGCCCTCATGCCTGAAATGCATTAACTTTAATGGTGCTTTTTCGAACTGGGCAGGAAAAATACAGGTTTATTGCCAAGCTGCATTTGAGAGAGTAAAGTGGCAGGAAACTCTAACTTTGTTAATGGGGAGAAAAAGAAATAATGTGAAAAATCTTTAAATGTGTGCAGAGGGCAAGGTTACCTGAAATTTGAAAAGTGAAGAAATAACGCAAAACGCTAAAAGACATCATCCTGGGCTGAAAGTGTAAATAAACTGAGTAAATGCTACCGGCTGTTCACGTACCTGCACTCAAGCATTGGCAGATCAGGAACTCCAGTAGCTGCTCGGTGAAGAAGAGTAACTGTGCCGTAATGATTTCATTTTAAAAGTACATACAGTAAAAACAAAAGAAGTTAGAGGCTGTGTTCTTTTTTCTTTTTTTTTTTTTATGGCTGACATTTTAAATTTTGAAATGTCATCATCCAGAATTCACCCCAGCAAACGCAGGGCATGTTCCTGTGAAGCTTTGCCAAGCACTGGATTGGTGCTTTTTGAATGTGAAAATACCAGCCTTTTTATTGCCGCTGCTGTTGAGGAACACAACCCTGGCAACATTTCCGTTTTCCCCATTTTAACCTTTTTCCTCAGTTCTGAAATTGCTGTAATATTTGGGTAGCCGGTGTCCTGCCACACATGGGGCTGCGTGCAGGTGGCCAGCAGCCCCTGAACCCCCATTGTGTCGCTTCTCGATTTCGCATATCCCCCAAAAACCAAAACCTGCGCGTAGCAGTGGCACTAAGGTGAAATTTGGGACTTTCAGGTAAATGCTGTGCTGCAA